TGGCACACCCTTTATCTGACCCTCCATGTAGGCTCTCTTCCCTCTAGGTACCGGCTGAATTCAGCCAGTAGCCAAACAATGGCCTGATTCAGGTTCAAAGAAGAATGGCTTACCTCTGTCTAGAGTCTTTATTTTTATAAAACACTTCTAAATTGCTTTTACGCTTCCCCAATGCATGTTGAATTTAACAATGTTTTCTTAATCAAATTTCAAAAACATTCTTGGAAAAGTGAGTTCAGGGTGCCTTGTCCACTCTTTCTTTCTCCTCCCCCTCAGTACAATCCTCTAGTCCCTGCTCTGATATTTCCAGCTCAGTGATCTTGTCCTTGGTGGTCAGTGTCTCTCTGTGTCATATCTATCCTGTGCATTTTAGGGTACAGGGTGTGCCCCTGATCTTTATCATTTATCAACTGATGAGGTTTGGGATGGGCCAGCTGGGAATGAGCCAGGAGGAGCTTACAGCTGTCTTCTTCTTCTTCTTCTTCTTCTTCTTCTTCTTCTTCTTCTTCTCCTTCTTCTTTTGTTTTTTGTTTTCTTTTTGGTTTTGGTTTTTCGAGACAGGGTTTCTCTGTATAGTTCTGGCTGTCCTGGAACACACTCTGTACGGCAGGCTGGCCTCAAACTCCTAAAACACAGTGATTTCTTCCCTGCCTCTGAGTTCTGAATTCTGGGATTGAAGAAATGCATTGCTTGCTATCCTCTGCTTGACAATAAGTTCTCTCTCTCTCTCTCTCTCTCTCTCTCTCTCTCTCTCTCTCTCTCCTCTTACTCTCTCTTTCTTACAAAAAAAGGTTCACTGTCATTTTATTTTTATGATTGTCTTGCCTCTATGTATGTTTTTGTTTCCTGCATATGCTTGTTGGCCAGGAAGACCAGGAGGGATAGGAGATGGTTGTGGAATCCCAGGAACGTGATTTACAAGTAGGAGTGAGCTGGTTTAATTACTGGGACTGAAACCCGTGTGTTCTGAAAGAAACTGTGGTGCTGTTAGGTTTGGAGGTATTTTCCACCTGCAGTTTTCTATTCCTGGTATATTCCTGTTGAAGCCACTCTAAGTCACCTGAGGGTCTAACAACAGTTATAGGGATACCTGCAGTTATCACATAGGAAATCAAACCATGCTAAGAGATGAGAATTGAAACCCAGTGTACAATGACTCTGATAACCTGGACCATATTGGGGGAATCTAATATATCTGGAATCTTTGTCACCATATTTAGAACACAATATGATTTGGGAAAAGATTTACAAGGCTATAATCAGTCCAATCAGTCTACTTCTTGGGATACAATAAAGCTTAAGGTGTGACTACATAGAAACTCTTTTCCAATGTACAGGTGACCAAGGTAGTTTCTATAGCTGAAAGACATAGAAATTAATGTGGCCTCTGACAAATGACATGGAGGTCAGCTGACCACAAACTGCATGTGTCATCTCTGCTAAGGATGGGTAAGATATGTCTAGGATAAACATTCTTGAGAATTTGGATTAGTTACGTTTACCTTTGTAGCAAAAGGTAGGTGTAGCAAAACGTAGCAAAGAGGTTACCAGATCATTAATAAAATCCTTTCCTAGCCTTTCTCATTGAAAGGAGGTATTTTATCTCCATCATTGGGAAGAGGACCCTGTGTGTTTTACATTCCTGGTCTCCCTAGTAACCTCTGTTTGCAAGAACCTCTGTGCCCACCAGGCAGTGGTGGCACAGGCCTTTAATCCCAGCACTTGGGAGGCAGAGGCAGGCAGATTTCTGAGTTCGAGCCCAGCTTGGTCTACAGAGTGAGTTTCAGGACAACCAGGGCTACACAGAGAAACCCTGTCTCGAAAAACCAAAAAAAAAAAAAAAAACAGAATGAAAGAAAAAAAAAAACCCTACACTTACTTGTTGAGCAATTAATTGACCTATCCTTACTTTCTATGTTAATCCGACTATCTACACACTTCCTCCAGTAATACTTAAATATTTATTATTATTGATCTGGCTCTTCAGACCCTCCTTTCACAGATCAAATTCCCCTGTCCACAGAGCACATCTGCTCTCCTTCTCTGGAAGTCCCACCCTGTTCTCTGATTCTGCTCAGTCATTTATTCAGGAATGATTGATCAGCATTTATTCACAAGGTAGAGAATAAAAGGTAAGACCTGTTTACACAGACTTGAAACAGGAGATTCTTAGTATATGTGTTACAGTGTGATGTCTTGATTGAAACAAGACTTGAGAGAAATCATCATTTGAGTCATACTGCCAGAAGCCAAAACCAGGAAATTACCTGCTGTTGGAAGTGGGGTTAAAGAAAAAAGGGACAAGAGACACAAAGAATGAGAGCAAGTCTGGGGTTCTCATCTAGCTCTGAAATTTTAATTTCTGGGGCATGTTATAAAGACACAGCAAATCAGGAAGTTTAGGCAAGGGTCATTGCTTAGGGCTATCCCACTATTGAATCGTCTTTGTATGAGGCCATCCCACTGTCAGAGCCTCATTGCTCAAGACTATCCTACTGTCATATCCTTATTGCCCAAGACCATCCCACTGTCATAACCAGCTCCCAGGAAATGCCAGATGTTCTTTAACTTCCTGGGACATGAGACCCATGAACATCTTTTCGTAACCTTTTACTGACCACTCTTTTCAGAACAGCAGGAAATTTCCTGAGGTTCTCTTAGAACAGAAAATAATTTCCTGGGTTGGGCTCCAGACACTTTCCAGTAAGGTCTGTTTGAATTTTAGCATTGTAGGTTGAAAACTTAAGAGCCTCTCTTGAGGATATGGTACAGTGAAATCAGATAAAAAGTTGTTTTCACTTTTAGGAAACATGTGGTAGTTAAATGAGAATGGCACCCATAGACACATATGTTCAAATATTTATTTCCTAGTTTGTGGAACTATTTGGGAAGCAGCACCCGTGTGGCCTTTTTGGAAGAGGTGTGACACATGGGTGCATTTTCAGGCTTTAATATCTTCTGACCACACCCATATTGCTAGTTCCCTCTTGTCTGGAGTTCAAAATATGAGCTCTCAGCTGTCCCTTGATTTTCAGTTAAGATCTTGTAATGCAAGATGAACTTTTCATATGCATTTCTGTTCACCATTTTTATAATTTACATATAATTCTGGATGACTTTGAGGTAAAAATGCCCTTGATATCTCAGCTTTTACATTTGATCATGTTCAGAAAAGGATTTAACTTAACATTCACAGTAGAAGGCAAACCTATGTGTAAGTGTATGTAGAATACCTAAGTAAAGCCTCAATGCTCCCTTTCTTGAAGAAAGACATTGATTTACAAATGGCTCCTATGTTCTTCTTACCTCATACAGGAAAAAACCTTTCCCAGCTGTTCTGTGTTGTCTGTTGTGCTAGCTATTCTTGGTACTCAAATGGAACACATCTGGAATTAAATAAAACTCAGAGTTGGGTACTGTGCAGGATTTTTTGTAATTAAAGTTTTCTAACTGGGGAAAGAATATTTAATTTGGTCATTTGTGGTGATAAGACCCACGTTTTACCTAGGCCACTGCTTATGGTGACAGCCTACATATATAAAGGACATTGAAGATGGTAGGTCTTTCTCTTTCTCTTATTCCCTATCTCTGGTGAGCAACTTTTTGTTATTATGGTTGTTGTTATTATTTGTTTAATTTTCTGGCAATAGCGCTTATCTTACAAAATTAAGGTATTTACTGAAGACCAGCTCAGATATCCAGCCACATGGACTGAACCACTATTGGATTCTTAATCTTTCCATTTGTAGACAGCCATTATTAGATTAGTCGAACCGCAGCCTGTGATCCATCTAATAAATGCATTTTCTACATAACAGAGACTCATTCTATCAGCTCTAGTCATCTGGAGAAACTTTACTATATATAATATTCCTGTGGATTTTTTGTTGTTGCTGCTATTTTCATTTTACAGACTCACTGAGGAAGTTCAGCTGATTAAGAAGAGTGCCCCAAGGTGTCTGTCACTTATTTCCCTCTTTGCTCTGAGGCTTATCTCATAAACATCAGGTGAAAAGTACTTGCAGTTTACCTGAACCCAGCCAGAAGGAAAAAAAAATGTTTTCTAAAATCGTTTTTTTGTTTTTTTGTTTTTTTTTGTTTGTTTGTTTTTGTTTTTGGTTTTTTTTTGTATTTTGAGACAGGGTTTCTCTGTGTAGCCCGGACTGTTCTGGAACTCACTCTGTAGACTAGGCTGGCCTCGAACTCAGAAATCCACATGCCTCTGCCTCCAACGTGCTGGGATTAAAGGCATCCGTGACCACTGCCCCGCTAAATGTCACAATTTTATGGTTCCATCTTTTGTTAGGCCAAGTTGTGGTTTCTGCTTTCAAGGCCTAATGTACTGGTGTTTGGAGTTCTGAATTTTTTTTTTCCATTTTTCGATACAGGGTTGCTCTGTGTAGCCCTAGCTGTCCTGGAACTCACTCTGTAGACCAGGCTGGCCTCGAACTGAGAAATCTGCCTGCCTCTGCCTCCCAAGTGCTGGGATTAAAGGTGTGCGCCACCACTGCCCGGCTGTTATTAATTTTTAATATTGTGGGCACCTGTTCACTTGTGGAGAGATTAGTAACTCCATTGTATCTGATTTATTGACTGTGAGAGTCATCCATTGTGAATCCAGCAGGAAGAAGTGGAAGGACCTCCTGAGTGTTGTGATGGGAATTCAGGAAAGCCCCACATTTCCAAAGCAATGAACAAGGTGTCACTGCCCACATGGGAAGAAGCAGGCAGTTGAGAAGCAGGGATGTTAAAGCTTACTTTCTCCCAGGAGGTTTACCTGGAGGACAGACAAATAAGCTATTGGAGGACAGGCACTTGTGCTACTGAACTTCAAATCTGCAGATCTGGAAAACGATTGGCCAAAGCTGCCACTATACTGTCTCTCTATCCCTAAGGGTAGTGATCATGTCACTCAAGTCTTACTAGCCAATCAGAACCTCCTCATGGACATGCCATTCAGAAGAGGAGGCGGCAATTCCGGGTCACAAGCGTGCAAGTTCCTTCCTGTAACTCAGCCGGCATGAGTGTTTCTGGGTGAAACATTCTGAGTGTGTCTGCTGGGTGCTGTGAGAGGAGCTCGGCAAGCTCAGAACTCCAGACATGGTGAGTGCAAGGTTGTCTCCCACGAACGGCAGGCGGAAGCTGCTTAGCAAAGTACAAATGTGTAGTGGATCTTCTCAGTGTCTGGATGGTAAACAGCAGCCGGACACATGCAGCCTCTTGTGAGGTCCTTTATACCCGGCTTTGTACCTAGCTGTGGCCTCTGAATGACTTTATTATGGGAGCATCTGCACAAAACCATTGCAGCAGTGGCTGTGTGTAGAAATATATTTGGCATGATGCCAAACCTTAGAGCCCTGGTTTCTCTATTCTCTAAGTTCTGCTCTTAGCTGTTAACTTGTAGGTGTAAGTTCCACTTGGAGTTGGTGTTGTGAAGGCTGTAAAAAGAAATCTCGTGTGTTGGGTATCACTCCAGTATTCAGCTGTGATGTACAAGTGCAGAATTAATGATATAAAGAATTACTAACATTTAGGAAATATTAAATGACACTAAGAATTTATCTGAGGAGGCACTGCCTATAAAACACCTGACAAGTATGTAATATGCTAAAACTGCAATCCTGTTAAAAATCAGTACTGTAATATACATGTTTGCTTACCAGAATTGTCCAGACATTTGTCTCCAAGCCTTAACTAAGGGGACAAATCTGATTTACAGTCAGTCATTAGGCTCATGCTGATATCAAAGAACAGGCCCCTAACAAGCTGCTCAATGCTGCATTACAGGGTCACAGCCAACATTAAGGCCTGATGTGACCTAAAGATCCAGTTTTCTTGGGAAAAGCATAGTTTTGGCACAAGGGCAGGACCTCCTGACATCTCTTTGAGAAGGACAACACTGTATGATCTTGGCTGCTCTAATCAAATAAGGCTTGATCCTAATGTGTGGAGAATTGCGTATCTCTTTTCTAAATTCTAGCCCCTTAACAGCCTGGAGCCTTGAGCTTTACCTAAGGCCCTGGTGTACTGAATAGAAAACAGTTGCTCTTTCTCCTAAGCCAGGGTTAGGGTCAGGTGGTAAAGCTTCCAGGCCAGGGTGTTTGGGGAGGACAAGCTTCAGATCCTGAGATTCCAACTCTTTCCAGCATAGGGTGACATGGTTATCAGTCCCAAGTCAACTGTGGGCTTGGTCAGTCATGGATTCCCTTGTGCAGCATTGTTTTATTACACTTCTCCTGAATTTGTCCCAGTGTATGATAGTTACTGATGTCTTCATAGTAGTCTCCATTTCATTCACTTTATCCCCTGTAAGTAGTATACAAGATGTTAGTTTTAAGAAGCTTACTTAACATAGACATAGCTTGTGCAAGTTCTCCCCACCACAGCTGTTGTACATTCTACCTTCTACGTTTCCTGTCTTTCTCATCTTCACTTCCAACTCAGGAACCCATCACTAAAAACTGACCTGCTTTTTCAGGTCTCTGATGTACTTAATCAATGATTCTGGGGATCTTTGCTGTGTAAATCTCACAGCTGTCTTAAGTACTCTAAGGGTGCTGTGAGGGGAGCTCCGCAAGCTCAGAACTCCAGACATGGTAAGTGCAAGGTTGTATCCCACGAATGGCAGGCGGAAGCTGCTTAGCAAAGTACGAATGTGTAGTGGGTCTTCCCAGTGTCTGGATGGTAAGCAGCAGCCGGACACATGCAGCCTCCTGTGAGGTCCTTTGTACCTGACTGTGGCCTCTGAATGACTTTATTATGGGAGCATCTGCACAAAGCCATTGCAGCAGTGGCTGTGTGTAGAAATATATTTGGCATGATGCCAAACCTTAGAGCCCTGTTTCTCTATTATCTTCTCTAAGTTCTGCTCTTAGAGGTTGACTTTGTAGGTGTAAGTTCCACTTGGAGTTGGTGTTGTGAAGGCTGTAAAAAGAAATCTCGTGTGTTGGGTATCACTCCAGTATTGAGCTGTGATGTTCAAGTGCAGAATTAATGATACAAAGAATTACTAACATTTCGGAATTATTAAGTGACAGTAAGTAGTAGAATTTTTTTGTTGTTGTTGTTTTGTTTTTGAAACAGGGTTTCTCTGTGTAGCCCTGGGTGTCCTGGAACTCACTCTGTAGACCACACTGATGTAGAATTCAGAATTCTGCCTGCCTCTGCCTGACAAGGTGCTGGGATTAAAGGTGTACACCACCACTGTCCGACTCACTAAGTAGAATTTATCTTAGGTAGGACCACCTGTAAAACACCTGACAAGAAAGTAGCATTGTAAAAATGGAGTCCTGTTAAAAATCAGTTTTGGTAGAATACATGTTTGTTTACCAGGATTGTCCAGACATTTGTCTCCAGACCTTAACAAAGGGGTCAAATCTGATTTACAATCAGCCACTAGGCTCATGCTGATATCAAAGAACAGGCCCCTAACATTCTGCTCAATGTGGCATTACAGGGTCACAGCCAACATTAAGGCCTGGTGTGCCATAAAGATCCAGCTTTCTTGAGAAATGCAAAGTTTTGCCATAAGGGCAGGACTATACCTGGTGACAACTCTTTGAAGAGGACAACACTGTGTGTTATGAGCTGGTCCAATCTAATAAGGCTTGATCCTAATGTATGGAGAATTGCATATCTCCTTTCTAAATTCTAGCCCCTTAACAGCCTGGAGCCTAAAGTTTTAGGAGCTTTACCTAAGGCCCTGGTGTATTGAATAGAAAACCGTGCTCTTTCTCGTAAGCCAGGGGTAAGGGTGGCAGTGACGATAAAGTTTCAAGGCAAGGGTGTTTCGGGAGGACAAGCTTCAGATCCTGCAATTCCAACTCTTTCTATCGTAGGGTGATATGGTTATCAGTCCCAAGTCAACTGTGGCCTTGGTAAGTCATGGATTCCCTTGTTCAGCATTGTTTTATTACATTTCTCCTGAATTTGTCCCAGTGTATGATAGTTACTGCTGCCTTCATAGAAGTCTCCATTTCGTTCCCTTTATCCCCTGTAAGTAGTATAAAAGATGTTAGTTTTAAGAAGCTTACTTGACATAGACATAGCTTGTGCAAGTTCTCCCCACCACAGCTGTTGTACATTCTACCTTCTATGTTTCCTGTCTTTCTCATCTTCACTTCCAACTCAGGAACCCATCACTGAAAACTGACATGCTGTTTCAGGGCTATGATGCACTTTATCAATGATTCTGGGAATCTTTGCTATGTAAATCTCATAGTCTTAAGTAAGACTTACAATTTCTAGTCTGTATTTAAATTGTTCAAAATAACCTGGATCCTGAACCAGAAACTTGCAGGACTACCTAACAATTGCCAGGTACCTGTGGGGAGGAGTACACCTGGGTGTTGCCAGATAACTGTGGAGGTGGAGTTTAGACAGAATACTAACACATATGGTTAAAATAAACTAGATTGGTGGTTGTTTAATTTGGGCAGCTTAGTTTGATCCAGTGGATAATGAATTTTGTTAGTAGGACTGGTATTATATAGACATGAGCAATCCTAGCTGACGTATTTATGTTGGTTTAGAAATTTAAAACACAGGCCATTAGATGTAGCTGTGTGTCACCTTATAGATCTCAGCAGTTAACACTGCACATAGGGGCAAGGACAAACACCATCTTATTAATGCCGTCACCTCTACCAGGAAGGGTCTGCTCTTTTTTAAAGCCATTATACCAATATATTTTTTCATTTATATTTATCTTTTTAAACAGTCAATTTTTTGTTATTAGTTTTTAAATTTCATTTTCTTTATGCATAGGTGCTCTGATCTCTTACTTGTTTCCATTCTCCAGTGTTTCCCACAAACTAAGAATTTCATTCCCTTTTCTAAAGAGATTTCCTATCTGTCTGTTTAGAGCAACATCTCCTGTAGCTCAGGCTTTCCTTGTGCCATGTACTTAAGAGTTACTTTGAACACCTGAACTTTCCTCTGCTGCCCAGTGCTTGGAAAACAGTCCTACAACTCCTTTCAATCTGGTTTCTGATTCATCAGTGAGACAAAACATCAGGGAATGACTGTTGTCTAACATTCCTGGATTAGGGGTGAGGGGATTACAAATAAAAGAAGGAACTGTATAAGAACTGAGTTCACTGACCAACTGTGGAGCTGGTATAATTGCAGCACAGAAAAGGAGGAGAAAGAAGGAAGGTGAGGCCTTTCTCCTTTGGAAGTAGTTGACATTCACCATGATTAGTCAATGAAGCAATTTTAGAAAATAATCATTAAAATTCCTTTCTGTCAATCTTGGGGCATTTCCCAGATTAGGGAAATGATGAATTTAAATGAAGACATATACTTATATCTAGAAACCAAATTTTTGTATTTTCACTAGTTCAAACAAAAGATCTAAACAAACTGGTGTGGCTGTGCCTAACAGGAATATGATTATTTCTATTTGAAAATATACAGTGTAAGAGAAAAGATATGAGAACTACTTGGTATATACATTTAGTTTCTCAAAAATACTGGACCATAAAGTATGTTTTAACTCGTAAAAATAATCTTTGAGAGTATAATCGTCATTCCTTCCTTCTCCTTTCTCCCTAGTGTTAAGTCTGAAACTCTGGGACAGGGAGCTGAGAGGCCTATTTAACAAATCAAAGCAAACCTGGCTGTCTGGTTCTCTCATCAGACTGCAGTTCCTACCTGTTACAGAATATTGATTGGGCTGCCAATATCCAAGCTGCCATTCCTTATGAAATCTAACTACTTTGGGACTGGTTTTTGCATCTATTTTTAATCATTCTGATCTCTTGGTCTGGTTCTTCCTTCTCCCATTCTACCTCGCCAAAATGACATGTCTTCTCTAAATTCTCCCAGATACAATTGAGTCTCCCTATGTTCTCTCTTCTGTGTATAATAAATTTTCTACTCCACCATACCTAGGAGCACTGATTTCCTATAATTTTTATTTCTTCTTCTTCTTTTTTTTTTTTTTTTTTGGTTCATTTCTCTTCAGTTAACCGCTCCTAGCTTTAAAATTTACAGCCAATTTTTCTTTTTAATTTTTGTTACTCTATGAATTTGATTGCAGTTTGGCTGCAGGTCATCCCCACTATGAAGCAGATATGTCGGCACAGGACATTGCATGCATAATTGATTATGTAAAGAAAGGACCCGGCACCTTTAACAATGAAAATAAGTGCCCTGGGAGAATATAATATTCTATTAAATGCAAATTTCCCAGACTAGGACTATGTCTGCATTTAGGGTGGAAGAGCAGAGCTTGGATGGTTTCAGAACAGTAATTTGCTCTGTGGTCCCCAAGTTGAGGAGATGCTATTTACTCTCCTGATGCCCAGCTAAGTTTTCCTAGCTAAGGAGGGACTTGGGCAGGCCTATCAATCAGGAGCAGTAGTGGAAGGTAGCTTGCAGGGGCTTTACAGGATTTTCCTCAGATACATGTGTTACAAGCTTTGCAGAAGACCACAAGCCATGCCCTGGTGATTGTGGCCATATCTATCACCAGGATAGGAAGAACAAGTCTGCTGAGCTATCAGAGTCAGATCTACTGGTACTAAGAGGGACCATGGTTCAGAGTGTGGTTCTGTTGCTCCATGTAGTGATAATAGCAGAGGCCCTTGTCCTTTGACCCTGAGAGTGGATTACCAGGGAGGGTCTGTAGCCATTTGAGTGGCAAGGTATGAAACATAAATGTCACTATCCAGTGTGTATACACAGGCATTGCTTTTGGTGTATAGTAGGATGACATTGCAAGAGTAGAGGTTTGATTTCTAGAATTTGTGAACCTTCTGTTTTCAGTTTTGTGTGACTAATTTTATACATAATTTAAAAATTAGTAAAAATGGTGATTGGAATCATACTTCAGAAACATTAGCTAGAATTCTTTAGCCTTCTGTTACCTCCAGTACTAATGGCACAATACACAGAAATGCAATTCTTTGTTTCAAAAGAAGCTTCTGAGATGTAGAAGTTCCTCAGGTGTGTATGATGCTGGATAGCTACATAGGACAGATTTCACATCTTATAAGAATCTATGTGGCAGGAAGCAGATATTAAATCATTATTCAATATTGTGTTTTGTTAGACTTGAGTGGAGCTAGTTTTACCTGAAATCATTAGGGGTCATGAAGAGCTGCAGAGCCAAAGACCATGTTTCTGATCACCTACCTCTATTGACAGGACTCTATACCATCAGGCCTCTCTGTTTGGAAGACAGACAGGTAGTAACTGAAAGGTCAGGAATAACATTTTAGGCTTCACTTGAGTTATTTTTGTAGGAGTCATGAAATCTATTTATATTTTATTTGTATACTAGTATAGGTAACATTAGTCAAGTTTACATTTTTCCTGGGGTAGTTCCCTCAGTTGTTTGGCAGAGAACTTGAAAACAGGTCGCATGGAAATGGGCAAAGGAACGTTTCTCTGATAATTTTTTTCAGAGCATTGGGCAAGAGTGAGAATTTGGTCTTGGGAAACAGATAGTGGGATGAGTCTTTGGACAGACTACTTAGTCTTCTGGAGGACTGGCCTGTGGTTAGGTAGGGGGTTTCTGTCCATAGTTCAGAGCTCAGACACAGAAATGGGGTAAGAAGGGAAGGGAAGACGGAAATGGTCTTTTGTATCTACAGGAGGCCTGGACAGGTGAGAAGAAACTGCAGTCCTAAGGGCAGCCTTGGGTATTGGGTCTCAGGGAACAGAAAGTGAGGAAGATCAGGCAGGATGCTACATGGTCCCATACCCAACATCTTAATACAGAGGCATCAGGATCCCCGAGATCATTTATTTCCTTCTACATTTACTTCAGTTTTTCTTTTTCTTCGTCTGTGAATGACTGTTTGCTTATTGGATAAAACGTGCTATGTGGATGGGCAGGGAAATTAGTTAATTATTCTTTTTGAAGTACACATGTACACTCTTGTTGGAATCATGCTTTCTTATGTACATATATACTGGAACTTTTAGGATGTAGTGACCTATGATGACGTGCATGTGAACTTCACTCTGGAAGAGTGGGCTTTGCTGGATCCTTCTCAGAAGAGTCTCTACAAAGATGTGATGTTGGAGACCTATAGGAATCTCACAGCTATAGGTAATACAGTGATTTTTTTTTTTTTTTAGCTTTTGAAATGTAGGCACATCTGCTTCTTTGTTATTGGTATTTGTGTTTGTAATTTCAGTTGAGAATAAGGAAGAATAAGGTGAATAAACAGAGATGTTTCTAACGTTCACTCAAGTTGATAACTTAAATGTCTAATTTCCAGTAATGTAACAAACTTTCTCTGGCACCACATTTTAGGCCACGTTTTAGAAGATCGTACTATTGGTGAACATTTTCCAGGTTCTAGAAGACATGGAAGGTAATTTTCATGTGCAAGCTCATAAGAAATTGCCTATGAATAAAGTTTAATATGTGCTACAAGTTGTAAAGAAAAGCAGTAGGATAAAATATGCACTGGATTAAGTTATAGATGATTATTAAATCTCACAAAATCATGTATGTCGATGGCAGACATCCAGTTTGTGTTTGCAGGGTGTTCCTTAATTTCAAAAAACATAAAACAACAGGAATGTCACTATTGGAATCAAGCTCAGTAGAGACATGTTCTAGAAGTTCCAATCTGTTCAGTCTCATACCACTTAGCTAGTGTAAAAGGGAAACAGATTTATTAGGTGATAAGCATATGTCTAAAACCTTATACTAAGCAAATAATCCATAGTAAATCTGTTATTAGCCATATACTTGTAGTAGCATTGCTAAATTTATTGAGATGGACAGTTTATGAGACTTAAGAATGGTTTTGTGGAGAAATTTTAATCTCTGTACCACATCAATATGAGAGAAAAAGTCAAACTCTGTGAATGTAATGTGAAACTCTTTCACTTGTTATTTTTTTTAATATGGATGTGGTAGATCATGACTGATACAAGCCATTTGAGCATAGAGATATTGAAGAAACAACATACCTTTCTCTTTTCCAGAAGAATAGAGGATATATAGTGCTACCCACTTTGAATAGACATTTCTAAATGTGCTAAAAGTTTACATATAATTAGTTTCCCAATATTATTGCGGGTATTTACTGCTGAAAATCTTTATGAGAATTAGCGAAGTAGAAATGTTTTCTGTTAGCATTGGTTTATATTCCATATGTTGTATTATTCACATAATAGCAAAATTTATGAATACAGTTTGCAGAAGCTCTGAATTCTTTCTATTCTCTTCAAATATGCGAGTAACCTCTTATAAAAATTTATGCTATAAATGTTAGCCATGTAATCAGTACTCCTCCCATTCCATGCATCTTCAAAGATGTACACCAACCAATAATGAATGACAACACCTTTGAATATTAACAAAGTGATATTATGGTAAGATCAGACTACCATTACAATTTGGTTAAATTGTAAATGAATTTATACAGATAAAAAGACTCATCAGTATAATCAATGTGAGAAAGCTTTCACATCTGCCAATTTCTTTGCAGGCATGAAAGAAGTTGTTTTGGAGAGCAACCCTCTGAGACTGTTCAATGTGCTAAAGCTTTTGTATATCAGAGTCATACTCAAAGGCATGAAAGAACTCATAATGGACAGCAACCCTATGAATGTAACCAATGTGGTAAAGCCTTTGCACAAAGCAGTGTTCTCCGATGTCATAAAAGAACACATACAGGAGAAAAACCGTATGAATGTAACCAATGTGGTAAAGCCTTTGCACAAAGCAGTGCTCTCCAATGTCATAAAAGAACACATACAGGAGAAAAACCCTATGAATGTAATCAATGTGGTAAAGCCTTTGCACAAAGCAGTGCTCTCCAATGTCATAAAAGAACACATACAGGGGAGAAACCCTATGAATGTAACCAATGTGGTAAAGCCTTTGCACACAGCAGTGGTCTAAAATATCATAAAAGAACACATACAGGAGAGAAACCCTATGAATGTAACCAGTGTGGTAAAGCCTTTGCACGAAGCAGTGTTCTCGAGTATCATAAAAGCACACATACAGGAGAGAAACACTATGAATGTAACTATTGTGGTAAAGCCATTGCAGGAAAGAGTAAACTCCAAGTACATAAGCGAACACATATAGGGCAGAAGCTCTATGAATGTAACCAATGTGGTAAAGCCTTTGCTGGAAGCAGTGGTCTCCATTATCATAAAAGAACACATACAGGGGAGAAACACTATGAATGTAACCAATGTGGTAAAGCCTTTGCTGCAAGCAGTGGTCTCAAATATCATAAAAGAACACATACAGGAGAGAAACCCTATGAATGTAACCAGTGTGGTAAAGCCTTTGCACGAAGCAGTGTTCTCGAGTATCATAAAAGAACACATACAGGAGAGAAACACTATGAATGTAACCAATGTGGTAAAGCCTTTGCTGGAAGCAGTGGTCTCGATTATCATAAAAGAACACATACAGGGGAGAAACCCTATGAATGTAACCAATGTGGTAAAGCCTTTGCACATAACACTGTTCTCCAACGTCATAAAAGAATACATACAGGGGAAAAACCATATTAATGTAACCAATCTCATAAAACTTATTCATAAATCAAGAGTCTTAATACACATAAAAGAACATGTATTTGAGCAAAACCCTGAGTGTATCTAATGTGGTAAGGCTTTTTCACAAAGCAGTCATGAGAATCATAAAAAGACGCATACAGGAAAGCAATTTTTGAATGTGAGCAATGTGGTTTTAAACCTTTTTCACAATGCAGTGTCCCCCAAATATATACAGGACTGTATACTGGAGAGAAACCCTGTGAATATCATAAATGTTATGAAGCTCTTCTCTGTCCCAATCATCTTCAAATATATAAAAGAACTTGTACTGGAGAGAAATCCTCTGAATGTAACTAATGTGGTAAAGCCTTTGCACAAGAGTCATCGAGTACATCAAAGGATACACACTGAAGAGAACACTATGAATATAAGCACTGTAGTAGACTTTTGCAAGTCACAGTACTCTCCATGTAAATAAACGAAGACACATTCAAGAGAATCTCTATGAATGTCATCTACGGGATAGAGCCTTTGTATATTGCAATCTTCTTCAAGTGAATGAAAGAAGACATACAGGTAAGAATGTAAGGAATGTGGTAAAGCCTTTATATGTCAATCGTATTCAAAGGCACAAGGAAACCATAATGTAGAGAATTCCTGTAAATATATTTAATATGATGAAGCCTATGCATACTTCTATAGACTTTATCACCATGAAACAATCCATACTTCTTAGAAAGTTATGAATACATTTGATATTATGAAGCCTTTTAAAATTTCCTAAGTTTTCATCAGCATGAAAGAGAAACCCTATGAACTCATTCAATATGGGGAAGCCTTTATAAATTATTACAGACTTCATCATCATGAAAGTAATCATAATGGAGAGAAAATCTATGAGTGTAAACAATATGGAAGAGGCTTTCTGGTATGGGGTCCTCTCAGATCCAACACCACCTAGTCTCAGGTAATGCAAGTGACAGGATTTCATGGTAATAAAGCTGCTGCTAGATCATGACATAATCTGAACATAATGTGTGACTTTTAACACACATTTCCCCAAGTGAGCCAGAATGTTATAGAGCTGACATCCTGCAGTCCAAAATGTTAACCCACAATTATTAATGTCTGAAAGAACTGAAGGAACAAAAGCAGAGAAGGCCCTGAGAAAAAGGAGGTCCAGCGACATGCCCAGATTGAGATCCATCTCAGTGGGTGGCTCCAACTTCTGACACTATTACTGGTGCTATATTCTGCTGACAAACAGAGAACTGACATGACTGACGTCCAAGAGGCCCATTAAATAGGTCAAAGAGTCAGATGCAGATATTTACATCCAATCAATGGACAGAAACTGGTGACCCATGAGGTTGAATTAGGGAAAAGCTGGAAGAAGTTGAGGAGGAGGGCGACTGTATAGGAAGTCAAGCGGACTGAACTGGCCTGTACCCATGGGATCTTTCAGACACTGAGCCACCAACCAGGTAGCATGAACCACCTGATATACAGCAGAGGACTACTGGGTCTGGACTCAATCAGAGAACATACAAGTGACCCTCCAGAAACTTAGGGCCCCAGGTAGTGGGGAGAACTTGTGGGGTCGGATTTGTGCATAGAGACATCTTGGAGACTGGGGAAGGAGGAATAGGATGAGGAAGAGTTGGAGGGTGGACAAGGAGGGGTATAAAACCTGAATTGTAAAAAAAGATTCAACAATAAATGAATAAGAAAAAAGAAACTTATAAAAATAAGGAGAGAACAGCAGAAACTTCTGTGCCAATTTACAACTACGTTTTCCCAATAATCAGGATTTTGGAATAGGGGCTTATGTACTTGACAGTGTCAACTGTTATAGAATGTGTGTTTTACAGTTTAAACAATCATATCAATTTGTTCTTTGGTGGTAAAGAACAGGTGTTATCTTTTGAGGAGCACAAGATGAATGGCAGAAGGCATTGTTAGAGACAGTCTTTGTGTTTTCAAGGACGAAAGATGAGTAAAGGATGGTGGTTCAGAGTGGGAAGTCTGTAACTCCCCCATGCCTGGAAGTGTGAACATAAGTTTCACCATGTCATTAAATGGAGGATGATTAAAAAAAGGCAGAACTTAAGGAGTGGTGGTTTGTTTTCTGCTTATTCCTAATTGTTGTGTATTGGTTCTAATGCTACTTGTGTTAAATTGGTTCCCAGATTTCATCAGAGTCCTGTATTTGAGACTCTGATATTCCCTGCCCCAAGCTGGTTCTAATTGGTAAATAAATTGCCAGCAGCCAATGACTAGGCAGGAAGACACAAGCAGGACTTTGGGTTCATGGGCAAGGAGACCAAAGAGGATTGCCGTGGCAATAAAGGAATTGGATGCAAGCCTGAGAGCTGGAAAATAGAGTGTGCCAGCCATGAAAGAGGCAGGAAATAGTGTCCCCAGTGTTCCCTCCTCTGATTCAATCTGAGATAGCAGAGATTGGATATAGATTTTAATAAGTAATAGTTCAGTAGTATCACAGGGGAGGTATTAGCAATGTGCCGGTTGGGGAGTGGCCCAGCCAATGAGCTGATCTAGGCATATTAAGTAAAGCTATATGTGTTTGTCATTTATTTGAGAATCCATAGCATTTGCAAGGCATCCTATGGTAGAGCAGAATAACCTACTAACTCTACAGAATGTGTCTCACCTTTAGGATTGAACTCAGTATTAAAAAGTATTTGGAGATTCTCAAATGGAAAACACATGCCTTGATGTGAGTTGATGAAAATTGTATTCTTAGCAGAGTTGCTGGTTTTGCTGAAGCAATGTTGTTCCTCACCAAGCTATGCAGGTTCCCAACTAGAACAAAAGGTGAGTTGAACTGGCATGCATAATTCTGGGGTTCATTGCATGAGCTGGGACACAGCAAAAATCTCCAAAACTGACCCAGATGACCTGAGTAGTAAGCATTTATTATGAGTGCTCTTTAAGGATTCTGGCTCTCTTGGAGAGATTGGGCTCTGAAGTGCTGTCCAAAGAGACAGGCGTCTCAGAAAGCAGACACAAAGGTAGATGGTAGAGGCTGCCTGGCAGCTATAATCAGATAAAAAAAGGGGAGAGATAGACGAGATTTATTTGCTTTTCAGGAAAAAAAAAGAGATACAGTGTTAACTATGTCAGTGTTTGTGAGTCTACATGGAATAAAGTAATCTTGGATTTTACTCTCAAATATAGGGAACAAATGCATAAAGATAGAGAGATACCCTATTTCAGCAAATAATAATGATAAGACATATTAATTTCTACACAATGAAGAATGAATGGAAAAAAATGTTTTAAAGAACAATTTAAAAGTCGATTCCAGAGCAGGCATTCCAGTTCTTTGACTGCGAGCAACACAGCAATGCTGGTATTCCTTGGCCAAATATGGCAAATGAAGAGCCTGGAAATAGGCTTATACACAGTAAGTAGAAGGGAATTTAATTGAAGTTAAATACATAGGAAAAGATGTTTGTTCAAGTTATATAAAGGGAAAAGGTATATATCCATAGAGGTATTAATTTCCATAGAAGGAGATTTTATATTTGCATAGATAAATAAGTTTGGTGGTTATGATATTAAAATCCTCTAGGATAGAGATTAAAATAGGGCAAGCTTAAGAGTAAGGAGGCTGCTAATTGAATCAATCCATACCATTGATGATTTTGTGTTGTTACTGGAACAAGGACATACTATTGTGGGAGAGAAGCCCTATATTTCTGCTAGTAGGGAAAAAGAAAAGGCTTTGGACCCCTTCTAGAGTGATATGGATCATGTATGAGAGGGGAAGGCCCCCTGAAAATGTTGGCTAAAAGAAAAAAAAGTTTCAGAAAATGAAACAAGCAGGAAATATGATTTGCTGATTCCTCCACATGGGAACAGACTTATAACTAGCCCAGACATAGAAAGTCTCTAGCTCAAACTTCAGAAAAACGTAGACAATTCATATTGTTGTTTATGGAACACTTAAGATTCAACATGCCGTCATTCCTATGGCATGAATGAAGATTTATTACAATTCCTTATTGATCAAATTAACTTAAAAGGATAGTTTTCTGGCACCTGCTCAAACCAGAAGCAAAAATTCATCCTTAACTGAGTGGTGTAACTTGCATAATCCATAGAAATATCTTAATAATACTGAAATCCTTGTTGCAAGATTCATATATTGCTGAATGTGCCCCTTTGACAAGGTTCATTGGTGGTAATGCTGAGATGACCTGTTGTTCCAGCTACCTGCCCCCTGATGCTGGAAGAAACTGGTGAAATATTTTGAATCGCATTTTGAACTAGCAGTACAATAAATGCAAATAGTCAAGGAACAATCAAGGCAATAAGCAAAGTCCTCTGATCACTCCCTTGATCACTGTTTGTAAGGGCTTATCAGGATGATCCAAATATCTGAGGCTACTTCGCTGTCCTAGCCCAAAGTCATATTCATGCCTGAAGCCTACATCTTTGTTCTAGCCTAGATTTACATTCCTGACTGAAATTACTTCACTGTTTTAGCCTAAAATTAGATTCCTTCCTGAACTTACTTTCCTGTCATGGACCATTGTCAGATTCCAGCCTAAAGCCCATTTCCTTGTCTTTGACCAATGTAATATTACTGCCAAGTGGCCCCAAAAGTTCTCCACCCCATTAGGTACCATTTGGTTCCTCATCTTGAAGTATGCCATCTAATGGATTATCTAGAGATGCTGGATAATGAGATTTATTTTTAATAAGCATTTCTGATTTGTGTCTGTGTTTGTGTCTGTGTGTAATGTTTTTGGGGTTTTTAAGCAGCTGTCTTCACAGAGAAATAATAGGACACAATAATAACAAGCAGGTGAGCTTCCTGAGATGGTATGCTTCGGAGTATAGTATAATCTGAGACAGATTCATTCTCAAAGCCAAGGCTGTGAATATTTTCGCGCTACATTTGCAATAAGGCTCGGTGATTGGGCTGTATGAAAGATAGGCAGAGTGAGAAGTTGGGAGGAGAGAAGGAAAGGGAAAGAGGAGGAGAA